AAAAACAGGGTTTAACCCCCCCCCCCCCCTTCCCTCCCCCCTATTATTGTTTAATCGTTCTTATTGATATTTTGGTATTTGTATCACACGCATCAAGATTAACTTTGAGAAAAAAACTTAATCACAAAGTTTGTCATCAGTTCTGCCTGAATTGCTTAGATAGGTTTTTAATCAAAGGAAATCAGCCGCCCGTGTTTAATTCTTAAATTCCTGGGCCAAGCATTAGGGGAAAGCAACAGTAGTTGAAATAGTCACAATGATTTATTTGGACCTGAATGACTTAGGAAGAATACGCTCTTCAAATTGCCTTCTTAAACTTTAATGTTGCCAGTCTTCATTGCCCAAAAAAGCAGTGGCTCAGTTATCATAGGGACTGGTTGAACCAAGTCGGGCAACAACAGTGGAAGAGCCAGGTTTACGTCCGAGGGGGGGGGGGGGTATAACCCCTCTATCTCCCCCCTCCTTTTAGCTCCGCCATCGTGCCCCCCATCTCTAAGGGGAGTCGCACTCCAAGAGAGTATATACAAAATTTAAAAAATGTTCCAAAGTAAGTATCTAAAAGGGCAGAGGGTAACACAGTACCGGTGTCTTTAATCCTCCGACTACTACTATAGTCCGTCGTAACATTAACAGATCTCAGAATGTAGGAAAGCATATGTAAGAAGAATTCCCGGAGAGAGGCCTCAACACACTTAACTCTACGTACCACGATCATTAAGTTAAGCTACTGCAAACTGGAGCAGAAAAACAGCAGTTAAATTCCAATTTCATTTCCATACACAACTTGTAAGATCTGTATAGGTAGGTGTAATTGAAACCATTGTAGGAGTTCAGAGCGAGTTATTGGTGTATAATTGAAAAACCTCCAGATACATAATGTCAGAGATGAAGAAGATGTTACTTCTGACACTAAATTTTAATGAAGTCATAATCATACAACCTTTTCATCTTTCCTTTAGCGCTTCCACCCACAAGATATGTTTCTAGCTCTCCGCGCATTGCCGTCAGCACATCTCTCCATGACAAGCTGGTTAGAGGGGCTGACATTGTAAAACCAAAAATTGAATTTTCATCTATTTTTGGTTAAAGTTTATAACCTCACATGAGTAGTTTCG